TTGGCACGTTGGGCATACAATTTGATGAAAATTACTTTCCAATAAGGGATAATGTGTCTAAGTTAACTACTCAACTTGACATTATTGTACGGAATGGTAACATTGTTCCTCTTTTTTTTCTTGACTGGAACACTCTGCCTGATGATATTCTTGATGCTATCTGGGCACTCACACATTTCCGCTCGAGCGTCCAATCCCACGCTCGAGCGTCCAACACTGCACAGGAAATACTGGATGGGTGATAATCCCGCTCGAGCACCAAAACCCCCGCTCGAGCGGACAAGCAACAAAAGAATCCCCGCTCGAGCGTCAAACTCCCGTTCGAGCGGACAGGTCAAAATCTGGGCAACTAGTTTTGGCATCTAAACTCAACCGACTAGTAACAGACCCCCCCAACACATCCTATAACTCAAATACAAAGAGATTAAAGGACGACAACAACCAATATATACTGACCGGATCCACGGAACCTAAGTCCGGACACAATAATCTAAAGGAAAAAGACCGGGGTCGCTATATTTTCACTCGCGGAAGTTGGAAGGTTGTCATGGGGAGTAGATTATATATTATTCCAACAATGAAGCAATTATTTATCTAATGGAACTTGCTTGATCATAAAAATCATTGGCGAACACATTTATGCAGCCATGACATATATCTCATATTAAAAACAGAGCTGAAAAATAGCCATATTCAAGTCATGATTCCATCTTGCTTTCAGTTTGGATACATTCACAAATTCATTGTTGGGCCATCATCATCACAATGGAACTAGCTTTATTATAGAATCCTATGAAGATCAGGCAAAAATATAGTATACATCGGTGATGCATCTTGTATTAAGCATAGAGATGGTAACTTGAAGTATTCAAGTCTGGATTCAAATTCACATGCATCCAGTTTGGGTGTAATGTGAAACGTACATGTGTTCTTATCAGATTAACAGTATGAAAGCGGGACGCCATATTTCTACAATTAGAACAAAAGGTTTGGAGAAATTCAGAATTCCCAGAGTAGAAATTTACCTCATTCTTTAATTGCATCATAGCATCATAAATTGCAAAACCCTCACTCTCTATTCCAACCTAAAATAATAAGAATGTGAAGCCACGAAATAACAACCATAAGAATCAATATAGAGAATACTGAAATCTAAGAAAATTAATGAATAACTCAAGACACAGATACATCTAAGCAACGAATGTAAGCATAGTTTGTAATTGTATGATACTAAAGGCAACAAAATCTTCTCCACATTAGATTTGGGGAACTCTCTTCTAGTAATTAAAAACACCACCACTGCAATGAAAATCCTAAGTTTCAAAATTTGTTTTATAAACATAAAGAAGTTCATGTAGCCTCATTAGGCTATGAAATTATCAACAAATATGTTTAACTAAAATATGTTTAAAATAGAACATACACCAACAAATATCTAGTTTTCATTAAATTGAGAATGTAATGCATGTGCTTCTGTTGAGACAGATTGTTTATTTGTTCATCCCATGTAGCCAGAATATGTGGAACAAGCATTAAGTTTAGATAGCCTCATGTAGATAACAACATAATTCCATGATTTCATCCAACCAGAGAAGACTTGCAACTACAATCATATTGCTAACTATTTTTCAACAACATTTCAGTATGTATGACATCATTAAGAAAAGAGGCATGAGCTAGCACAATTGATGGAAATCAATGGAAGACTCATAGTTTCACCATCATCACGAGTTGTTCCAGTAGAATTTATATAAATATATATCGGCTCTTTGGGATCCATCCATTGCAGGTACATTAATTCTGCAATCACAAGCTCTGTGACCATTGGCACCAATTGAAAAAATATATATATATATTGTTCTTTAATTTGTTTAGAATTCTAAAAATATTCATCTCCTGATTGCATATTCTTATTTCTCCTGTAATATTTCCCCATACAAAGTAACACAAAAAAAGAATGTTAGTACATTCAAGCCAGTTAAAGATTAGGTTATTTGTGCATCGGGAGAGTAGGCTACACTGTGTGTTACAGGGATCAGATGTGCTGTTCTTTCAAATGGTAGGTTCGTATTTGAAGATGATAAAAATCTTTTGAAAGTGAAAAGAATACTTGTACAGTTTACAGACGTTAAATCCGTAATGATAGTCTTCTATCTCGTTTCATGGTCCTACAATTCTCTGTGAAGAGGAGTCTATTCGATCAAGAGTCAAGACAAATTGGGAAGTCTCAAAGACAAACATGCAAGTGATTTAAATATAAAATAACAAATGATTTGAATCAAAATTTACTTGAATTAAAACACTACATTCATCCTGATTACATGTACACTTTAAAAAATAAATAAAAATCCATATCCCTCGCTAGCATTTTTTTGTTCTCCTCTTCACATAAATATTTTATTTCCCTTTCAAATTCCATTGTGTTGTATCGATCTTTTGAATTGATACTACAGCTTTAATTAGTTCAACTTGGATTGACTATTTAATAGAAAAGATACATGGAAACAAAAAACAAAGAGGATTTACCCATTGAATTAGAGTTAGATATGCAGGGAAGTATTTAAGAAGCATAGTATGATTGTTGAATGCCAATCAGATTATCAAAAAATAAGATGGTTACAAAGGTACCTAGTGATACTTTGTGCCTTTCAGTCTTGCACTTCTTTAAAGTTAAAAGAAATCAATAAATATCCTCTGCAAACGTACCGTGTTTGTTTCAAAACATGCTAAGGGACACCAGCAGTCTGTGGTTGCAACCTTGTCTAAAAAAATAGGTAGCAGAAATAACAACCAATCATATTCACTATATCCTCAATTTTGAAACAGTTAACTAATATTATCAGTGAACTAGAAATTTTCACTACACAAAATTTAGAGGCAACTCATATAAATCAAACTAGAAATTTTCATTTATCTCAATTTTCTTCTTCATCCTATTTACATATGTTTTTTTGGCTTAGTGCTGTAATTTAATAAACTACATAGAATTAATAAAGCAATAACGCAATCTCTTTTTTATTCATAATCGCTTCAATCAAAATACAAATTGAAGCACAATTCAATAGTCATCCCAATTTCTACTCATAACTTTCAACTAATTAGGGAAAAATATAACAAATTACAGCACTAAGCCAAAATCAATTCAAACCATCTTCATAAATTCAAAATGTAGATCAAGTCAATTGAACAGACACAACACAACAATTCATCTTCAGAAACACACACACATATATATACATGACATATTAATATATGTGCATACACATAGAGAAATATAGACGAGTAAGGTTACCTCAAGTATCATAAAGATCTAACCATTTTTATGAAATGCACAAGCTATTTTCTGTTGAAATTTCCTGCATCAGCAAGTAAATGGGCTCCAAATTAGTAACTACCATGATGCGCATTCCAATTAAAATAGCACTCACAACAATCACTACAACCATCCTATTAATAATAGGGGCATCGGTCGAGGAAAAATGCACCTCACAATGCTTTCAGCATTTTCATATATACTGCACAAAATCCTTATATTACTTTAACCTATCTTCTATTAATTTGGTGTATTCACTAGAACTGCAGTAATCATCAGGACCATGCCTTAAAGTATGGGTTGATATTCATATTTTGACAAATTCTGAGTTTAGTTCTGATAAATTTGAGCAATCGATCGATCGATCGATCATGTGAATTTGAGAGAACAAAACTTGTAGATAGAGTTTCGAAAAAAGCTTCGTTCGCAGCCAATTCAACATCGTAGCCCTTAAGATTCGTTCACAGCCAATACATATGTATACAAATGCATCACATATGTGACCTAGATACGCATACATATAGATAGAGAAAGAGAGTGTAGACAGAGACCTGAGTGAATCTTCCTCCGATCAGTCCTAGAAACTCACAAAGAAAATCAAATCCATGGCTCAAAATCGAAATCGAACTCCCAGCTCGTACGATATCGGTGGTGATCGGAGGGACAATGGAAAGTGGTGGTGCTCGTGTGTTTGTGTGAGACGCCGATGGAGAGAGAGAGAGAGAGATAGAGGAGGGTATGAGAATGATGTAAATAGTGATATAAGTTTATAAATTATTTTTGTATGGGTGCTTTTTCAGTAAATCCATTATCTAAGAGTGTTATTCTATAAGACCCATAGTGTTTTATAATATTTCATTAGGTCCATTTCATACTAAAAGACAAAAAAAACCCTAAAACAAACACGCGCCTATCCTATCTTTGAATTTAATAACCGTCTCTCTTCCCCTCTCTTCTTGTGCAGGAAATCACGCAGAGTATCTCTACCATTCTAGAAATCCAAAGCCGTATTCCATATCGCTCAACGTCCATAAGATTGTCTTTGTTTCATCGTCTCATCAACTTCTTTGTCATCCCTACGCCGTCGGTCGCCGAAATCGTGGAATCACCATTGTTGAACATCCGTAAGCTCTATCTTCGTCAAAATCACCTTCGACGACAATTTGTGACAACGCAACCGTCAAAATGGGCGAAAAACGTAAGTAATCTACTCATTCGTGTATTTAAACCCTAAATCTCTTTTTGAACAAACAACATTGTGAACTTTCACAAATATCTCCTGTTTTTATTCATACAATATATAGGAGTCCATATTGTTCATACCCTAACCTTTAATCTGAACCCCTCAATCGTAATCCCTAATTATATTGTTTTTTCCAATAAAAAACATCACAGTTGCCATTATGTTGTGTTCACAACTGTGAACATTCAAATGGTTTGGAAGAATGTTGGCCAAACCAAATTGTTTCTGTTGTTGTTGTTGTTGTTGTTGTTGTTGTTGAAAGCTGTGAACATTCACATGGATTGAAAATGTTTGGATAATCAAATTATTTCGGATATTATTGTTGTTGTTGTTGAAAGCTGTGAACGTTCACATGGATTGAAAATGTTTGGCCAATCATTATTTTGTAATATTGTAGATATTTTCTTCTCCTTTTGTGAATGTTTGCCTGGTTGGTATTGTTGATTGTTAATGGTGATCCAATAACTTGAACCTTCAATTCTTGATTATTTTACATGAAAGTCGCATGAAATACAGTCCCTGCAACTATTAACACTATCCTTTCCCCCCTCTATCAAATTATTGTTATTAACCGTAGTGAACATTCACATTTAAAATTCCTTGTGTTAGATGTTGTTGTGATACATAATTATGTTGTGAACATTCATTACATGTGTAAATTAATTAGACACTTGTGAATATTAACCACTGTCTTTAGATGAAATATATCACTTTTTTTTATCCCATGTTTCAAATTGTATTTCAATTTTGAGGTTGTATTATAAGATTTGCATTGCATGATTGTAGTAAGAATGTGCATTGCCATACAAATTAGGACTGTAAATGTTCATAACATCCTTTTATATGTTTGTGTTAACATCCACATGTTCTTGAATGTTGTTCATGGTTGTATAAACATACATTGATTTTTACACACTCACACAATATGCACATTGTGTTTGTGCTGTCACAGTCAACATCCACATCCATGTACAAATGTGGATATTCACATCCAGACACAAAACTGTGGACATTCACACCCATGCACACAACTGTAAACATTCACATCATGGCAATGCTGTGAATGTTCACATCTGTTCCACTATGCTAATCACATGAGCCTTGATTTAATTTTTTTTAAATGCTCAATTTTGCAGATCTTGCACAGAAGAAAACCTCAAAGAGAAAAAGAGATGAGTACCATGTCAAGGAAGAAAGCCCACAAGCAAATACTAGCAGCAATGTTGACATGCGGCGTGTCAACTGCAGATCTAACATGACTGGACTGGTGAAATTATTAAAAAGCACCAAATTCACACAAGCACAACTTGGCTGCCTGCGACAAACACCTTTCTGGCATTTATTAGATGCATTGAGAAACAATGAGATCGACCTTGACAAATGCATGAAGTACGATGATGTTGTTGTGCATGTCCTACAAATGTACAAAGCTTCAAAAAATGCCTTCTACATTGGGGAGAAGAAGATGAACATACACGACAACGACATCAAACTGATTTTTGGTGTGGACTCTGGCACCAAGCCAATGGACATATCATATGGTGAGAAACCAAAGACTGGAATTATAAACAAAAGGTGCAAAAATATCAGCCGGTTGACTTCAAAATGAACACGCAGCTTTTTGACCGAGGCATTAAACGGCAAAAAGAAAGATGACAATGAAGAAGTCGCCCGACTAGTTTGCATGTATGCTTGCCAAAAACTTTTTTTCTCGACAAGCGGTGAGACAATAGGATGGGGCTACTACGCACATATGGTCCCATTGGAAAGCATGCAAGAATATGATTGGGCCAAGCAAATTAGAACAACGTTGACATCCTCCATTTCCCAAAACAACAAAAAGCCAGCAAAAGTCACTGGCTGTGTCATGTTATTGATGGTAAGTACCCATGTTCTCAAATAATAACATTCACATGTCCTTCAGTGTTGTTCATCTATGCCAACTGTGAACATTCACATCTGTACCACTGATGTGAATGTTCATATTCACTCATGATATACTACTATGAATGTTCACAACAGTGTCACTGTTATTAATGTTCACATATGTTGACATTACTATGCAAATGCTAAATAACATATGTCTTTGTTGTTTTGTTAAAGTATTGGTTGTGTGAGCACACAACCATCCTAGAACCTCACAAGCCCAATGCCATTCCTCGTTGTGTCAAGTGGGATCAGACAGCTTTACAAAAGAAGATGAAAACCACATATTTGGTTGATATTGGTTTTAATGAGGTATGACCTTCAACTATTGATCAAAACATTCACATTATGACACCACCCAAATATGTACGTTAAGTAACGTAACTTTTTCATTCAGGTTAATGCCAGCGAACTCTTCGCAACCCCAACAGAATTATAAAAGTTCAGGTATACAACATTGAAGGTGGAGCTTGAAATTTATGAACCAGCCACCACATCTCCCAATCTCTCTAACATCAAGGAAGAACAACACAATGGCAGTAACTCCCAGTTTTTTGGGGATGGAGTCGAGCTAAATGACAGTAATGAGGACATTCACATTCCGTTTAGCAGCCCATATGATGAGAGAGCTATTGTCATAGCAAACACAAGCCAACCCGATATCATCGATGTACTTGTCAAAGAAAATTGAAAGGCTTAGGGCATAATAAGGCAATGGGAAGCAAAGTACAAACACCTTCAATTCTCATGGGAGTTAAGGGCAAGAGTCATAGCTGATCTTGAACATAAATTGTTCAACCGGTCATGCCCACCCAACATGAATACTGAAATAAAAAAGTGCATGGAACGGAAGGATAAAGAAATTAAGCGCTTAACGCAGCTGGTCATCGACTTAGAATGCGAGAAAACAATTCTTCAGGGCCTTTATGATGACCAGTCAGTCCACATTGTCACATAGACTAAGGCGTAGAAGCAACCCCCTGCCCCAATGCAACACAATCTCAGCTCACCTTCTAGGGTGAAGCGTATAAAGGAGAAAGATCGAAAAGAGCATCGCTTGCCTGACTTCCAGTACCCAGACTTACCTGGCTAAAAATAGCCCCATACAGTCGAAATGGTTGAAGATGTGGACAAACACCCACCAGCGAAGCACCCAAAAAAATTATTGACCTTGACCAACAAGTTCAAAGTCTGGAGCAAGATGTCCAAACAAGACAAGCAAAAGGTCCAGGCTTTACAAAAGAGTGGAGGCACTGAGTAAGTGACCGTACAAACACCTAATGTCAACATTCACATTCCATAATTGTCAATGTTCACCACTGTGCTTATTTATTTGATTTGTTCAAAACTGTGCAATGTTAATATTCGCATTAGTTTGTTTAAAATGCACAGGCTGCTTGTGTGGAAAGGAGACTCGAAGTCTACACACCTGTATTTTGATGACATTATGAACCTTATCAAGGAGGAATCGATACACAGCAGTGTATGCCATTACGAAGATGATTCACTCTTCATGCATATACACACAGAGACACACACACACACCCATAGCCACAGACACACATTATTCACCCACCACAAATAATATAATACGACCCAATGTTTGTGCAGCTTATAGATGCATATGCCGAATTATTACATGAACAACAAAAGGTGGTCAACCCAACTTCAGATGAAGCGTCATTCATCTTCACGAGCATGTGTTGGATAAAATCTATCATTCCATTTTTGCTAATGTGAATTTGAAACTTCACAGTCCATTAATTATTTGTCCAATGTGTATAGATAGTGATACGAGAGTACCATCCTCGCAAAAGAAGTAAACACATTGATGCACATGTGAAAAACTACCAAGGAGAGAGGTACCTACTATTCCCATTGCACCATGACTTCCACTGGACGATAGTTGTGTATGATGCTAAAGACAATTTATGGAGGCATTACAACTTATTGCGCCTAAGGACAGGAATACATGAACCACATATCGACCAAGCACAGGAGTTGTAAGTGGCTCTTTTTGTACACAAATATGACTTGTTGTCATGCGTTAAATTCGAAAAATGAATATACACCCACATATGTTCGTTGGTGCCTAATGTGAAATTCCCCCTACACAAAGGAAGTACATCGAGAGCGTTGTGCGCGTTATTGGCGAGTCATCACCGCTATGCACTAAGTTAACAGTCCAATATTCGTCACAACCAATCATATCAGTTGATGTTTGTCCTCAGCAGGGCGACGACTCGTAAGCCTCACTACAGTTTTTACAAATCCTCCATAACCATTATGCAAACATACATGTCAAGTGCTAATCAAAACCATTTTTCATTTACAGGGTGGACTGCGGACCTGCAGTATGTTACATCATGTGGGCGCATATATACCATGAAGAAATTGTTGGCAGCCTCACTAGTTTTGAATGGCGTGGACTACGAGACTTGTTAGTACATAGTTTTTTGAATCATAAGAAATCAGAGCGTCATTAAAACCTATAGGTGGGGGGTGGTCTACCTACAAACTAACCAACACTCGATATGAATGTTAATATCAATTGCTTTGACATTTTGACACAAC